ATTAATTAATAAATATAAGTTCAGACTTTGATTATGAGATTTCATTCTATTAAATATTGGATTGATACAGAGAATGATTCATGCCAGTTTGACTTTGAAAATAAAAATTTTATTGTGAAAGTGATGGTTTTCTTGCATGTTTGAACATGAATTTAAAGGGGACTTTATACAAAACACTGGTTGCTAATGACAGTTCCGTTAGCCCTTAACGTGCCATGGTTCACTTAGTTAGCAGGGTGCTTATAAGAGGTACTAGTCTCGTGCGATGGCAATACACATGGAAATTCGTGAGCATTGTACTCATGTTTGATTTCGTGGCTTTGAGCCGTATTTAGTTAGCATTACCCTCATGGATTGTGTGTCCATGTTTGTTTCGTGGCTTCAACTGTATTTACTTACTTACCTTCGTGGACTGTGTGTCCACGTTTGTCTTTATGGCACAAGCCACGTTTGGATTATTTAACCTCATGACTTATGTGTCCACGTTTGTTAATTGTTTCGATAAGTCCCTATGATTATGAATCTGATTATTTGGTGATTTTATATCCTATTGATTTTTATTTAGTAATTTATTTACAAGTATTTATTTCATTTATGTGACTTCTTAAAAATCAAATGATATTAACATTTGCTATGATAATTCAATAGTTTAAGATTTTATTCAAAATTTTATAAAGTCATTTTATTTTGAAGTTTATAAATTTTTTTTGTGGAAATTGTTATCTCTTTAACTTACATGATTATTTTAAACTTTTCTTTTTATTCATGTTAAATTATTTATTGTTGGAACGTTATTTACTGAAAAATTATTTTGGCCTCAGATAGCACAATTGACGATGTATGTCTTGCTTACCAATGATTGATGTTTGCAGAATAGAATGGAGGTTTGTTCTGTAAATATATCTTATAGATGTAAATATGAAATTTATGTATTATGTCATGAGATATATAATTAAGTGCTCCACATAACTTATAATTAGAATCCTTAGTTTATTATACATTTTGTCTGCTGGCTAGAAGGAGTCGAGCTCCTGATGGATATAATGTTTAAGGAAAATTTTTGTGATGCAGAATTTTTAAGAGATCCTAATTACAAAGGAGGTTCCATCAAAATTTTTACAAAAATGTTGAAATAATTATTATAATGACTAGTATCAATAGTATTAAAATGTCAGTGTAAAACTAATTACATTTTAATTAAATGAAATAAACCTTGAATTTTTGGCTTACGCGATGCATGATGTGGTTCACTTCCTATGCCGATCACCCCTATTTTTGGGGCGTGACACTCAATTCATCCCTTCTTAGGTGAATTTTCAAGTTAGTTAGGGTTAAGTTGAAGTACTAAATGCAGCAGGAGAAGAGTAGTTAAGTGGACGTGGGTTAGGAAGTTCTAATGGAGAATAGCAATTGTAGAGCACTTCCCTCATATTTCGTTAGAAATTCATATTTCTATATCTCGTATTCTAAAAATCATGCGACGTGTCTCTATAGAAAAGGACCAAATTTGAATAACATATGTGATTATTTAAATAACATAACTCAAATACTTTCCCAAGATATTGTGTTTCAAATGTCAAATCTACATATTCAAATATCTAAAACTACATGTTCTATAATGCATCCAAGTATGAAATTTTCATAATTCAAAACATGTTATTGCAGCAACATGGATGTTCCTTACATATTATTAAAAACTAATTGCATATAGTGGAACACTAGTTACATATGACTAAAGCCCCTTATAACTAGTTCTTTACAATGCATCCAAGTATGAAATTTTCAAAATATCAAAACATGTTATTTGAATAACATGGATATTTCTTACATATTATTGAAGCTCAATTGCATATAGTGGAACACTAGCTGCATATGACTGAAGCCCCTTGCATCTATTGTTCTACAATGCATCTAGGTATGAAATTTTTAGAATATCAAAACATGTTGTTTGAATAACATAGATATTCCTTGCATAGTATTGAAACCCAATTGCATATAGTGGAACATCAACTGCATATGACAATGCCCAACGATCAATATCACCATGATCTTTAATCTACTTGCCAAACTAAGAGTTAAAGGAATGCATATTGGTCATTGCTCTATCAAACTCACCATCAAGTTTATCATATGCAATTGCATCCAACAATTTCAATGTATCCTCCTTCCTCATAGTAGTATTGATTCTAGCACCTTAAAAAACTTCTCCATATTCTATATGAAAGTTTTCTTTCATGTGCCTATAGCACTAAGCATGCCTCTCACTCTTAAGGATGGTTCTCACAATATGTATTATTGCATTGTGCCTGTCCAATACTCTTGTAACTTCCATATTTCCTACAATGTCTTTAATGTTATGCATAAACCAAGTGCATTCCTCATTACTCTTCTCATTCACAATGACATATGAAATATGAAAATGCTCATTATCAACATTATGTGCAAAAGCAGACAACATAGTACCTCGATGTGGATTACTTAAGTGACACCCATCAATATACAATACAAGCTGACAACCATTCAAGAATCTTTCTATACAACATCTATATGATATGAACAGCCTTTGAAATTTAAGGTTGATTGATGTTGCCTATTTAGCCACAATTGTTGGGTCAACTTCCACTAGTCTTTGGCAAAACCAAGGAATCAACATATAAATTGGACAAGAGATCATTGTATATTGACCAATGATCTCTCTTTTTCTTTCCATGCTTTATTATAAGACAATGAAAGACTATAATCCCTATATAAGTCTCACCTTTCTCATTTCATGCCTTATCCAATAAACACCTCAAACCATCTTTGATGACAGTTGAAGCCAACATAAAGGTGAATTTCCAACAAATTATGAGATTATCCTAGGCTAAGTGAATGTGATCATTATATTCTTGAACGAATGCACACATAAGAACTTTGAATTATGACTCATTACATAAGTGATTATCTTCCATGGACACCTATTAATTATGCACTTTGCTATCATATTTCTTGCATGATTCTTGACATACTTGTATGCAAACTTGTGTGCCAAATTATACTCGTACAATGATCCCTTGAATATGCCTATATTGTTGAATGTTTGATCCAGACTTAAAAGCAAGTCCTTCTACTTAGCTGCACCATGCCCAAGAAAAGAAGCAGGTGCACTTTAAATTAAACATGTAAGATCTTAATTTCCTTTACTTGATGAAAATCCAACAATGGATAATTCAAATGAGATTTCTATACAATCTAATTTTTGTGAATTTAGCATAGGTTCAACTTCATTTTTACACTCATTTACACCTTCTACTATATAAATATGTGTAGATTTTTCATTAAATTCAACTTGTTGAACTCCTTCATCATCTTTCAAGTTTACCATAGTAGTTTCATCTAATTCTTGCAATCCTTTAAGTTCACGCCCAAAACATGAACATATTTTTCTTCTTAACTCATCATTGATATTGAAGTATTTACTATCCTTCTATTTGCTTTACCACCAATATATTGCACCCTCCCTTCATTAATAGCAATGTTTCCACATATATGAAAGAAACAGAATATTTTTTTCAATTCCTTACTCATAAGAATGTCATATACATTTGCAATTTTCAACGTGCAAGGAAAAAAAAACATTCATTAGCAAAAAATTACAACATCATTCTATTAAATTCTAGATTAGGTGTCACTAACCTCTATAATCTGAGAAAATACACTTATGGGAGGAGCAAACGGTAAAGCAAATACTTGGTTCTACCTCTTTCGTCAAGAATCTGAAACTTAGGCAATCAAACTCCACTATCACCGAACAAAAAATGAAAATCACAGAATATTTCACCATCATCATCGAACACTCAATAAATTGACCTCACAAAGTCATGAACTTGGTTGTTAGACTCAAAGCTTCATCGGATAGAATCGAATGTTGTTTGCAGATGATCGCGTGCACCTGAGGAGCTTTCTTCACGTGCGTTTCTTTTTCTTTTTCTTTTTTTTTTTTTTCCAAATGTAATCAGAGCAAAATTGTCATTATGCAAGTTTGATTCAATGCTGGAGAAGGACCATGTTTCAAAAATTCTTCGAAGTCCTTATCAGCAAATAAAATCCTGGTGAGGTTGTTTTGGGCAATTTTCTTGAAGAAAAACATAAACCCAGATAAGAAATTTCTACAGATTTGATAATTAGAGGGAGTAATGACAGTCTCAGTACGAGAGACTCTCCTTTTCTCGTTTTTGAAAGACAATGCATGCTACTTGCGTTTCTGGTATAATCATGGCCTCAAGGATGATCGACTTTACCTAATTATTCCAAAAAAAATAGCAAGAAGTCAATTTTGGGTTCATAGACTTTATTATAACTTTAAAAGTTTCACACTCAGACATCAATTTTAAATGTAAAGGACTTGATTTCTTCCCACCAATTTTGTTTTTTCTTTTTTGCAATGGGCCTCCGCTAAAATAATGAACCATTCAGATCTAGTTTAACAGTATAGATTAATTTATATTTTTTTAAAACTAACAAATCTAAATCTTTAGGATCAGTCCAATGGTCCACAAAAGTGATTTAGAGGGAGTAAGATAAATCAATAATCTTAATATATCAATAATTATGAAGTATAAAATTTACAGCAATTTGTAGTAGTCACAAGTGAATTTTTATCTCCCCCCATTTTTGTTCAAATGTCTAACGTCCATATACTAATTCTTCTAAACATTTTATCTAAAATTGTTGATTTTATCTTAATTAATCATCATCCATACGTCATGGGGTTTTATTCTAGTTTCTCAAATTTCATGTAGTGTATCAAACTCCACAAAACTCACTTGGTTAACTACTAAGAAAGGGTAAACAAAACAATAATATGAAAATCCTACTCATTGACGTATAGGGTGCAAAATTGTTAACCCAAATCAAACTGAATCTCCTACCAAGAAAAAGGTACTGAAAATCAAACTAATCATTAAATCAGTTACAGCATTGATTCAAAAGTTAATGGTCAAAATTATAATCAAACCATAAAACAAGTAATAGACAAAACATTTTATTAACCTAGTTAACACATTGGTTTAATAATTTACAGGTCGATTCGGATTTCCATGCCATGGAAAAGATACAGTAACCTATGACATTGATAACCATTTTCTAAACAAATCCAAGATTATATTCTCAAATCAAGCCCCATGCAAATCGGCTTCATAAAACGAAGCATCTGTATCAAAAAAATGGAAGAAAGAAAGCTATAACATAGAAGCATTTGAATGAAATCGGAACACAGTTTGGGGGAATGCTAATCAAGATAAACCAAGAGGCCGTTTGATCTGTCTGTCAACAGCGGCTAAAATGATGAAGGAAATAGCTGCTGCAGAACGGAGCCAATGGATTGAGATGCTACAAAGAATCAGTTGTCTTCTTCAACAGAAGCAAACAGTAGCGATGCATTTGTTCCTCCAAAACCAAAAGAATTTGACATTGCTACTCTTATTGGCATCTCCTTTGAAGAGGCCAAAGGCATGAAATTATCATTGAACACAGGATCTGGCTTCGTTAGATTAAGAGTTAACGGAGCAATTCCCTGCAAACAGGAACCACCCTAGTAGATTAAGTATACAGGAATTGCCTAGCGCACAAGAAACTGTGTCGAGAAAGCTTACATGGTGTACAGCCAAAACTGAAAAAATTGCTTCAACAGCTCCAGCGGCACCGAGCAGATGACCAATAGCACCCTGAAATTAGGTTTATAAAGAAAGTCATGGGCCTGATCCAACATGCTTTGGAAGAAAGATGAATCATTAATATTCATTCTAACATTAAAAAAAAAATGTACAAATTGGCATCACGACCCTCAGCTACAAGAAAGCTTGTCTAAGAAGTCATTAACAATCTGAGTACTTGGCCAATCAAATAAGAAAAGCATATAACTTGTTGGTCGTATAGCTTGAATTCTCATATACAGTACCTTTGTTGATGAGAAGGCCAAAGCACCCGAGGTTGCATGATCAGAGAACATGGTTTTAATAGCATTTGCCTCTATTGCGTCCCCTGCATGACAGAAAATGGTGAGATAGTTTTTAAACGCACCAACATCCATAGAACTATTCCAAAATCCAAAGATTCAAGATCAAGTTGCATTGCAGCAATATGTAAAAGTCCAAATAACTTGCCCAGAAGCGTAGATGTGGCATGTGCATTTATGTAATCCACTTCGGAGGAATGAAGACCTGACTGCAATTCAATAGAAAGCAGTTTTAAGAAACAATTTTATATTATAAACTACGTCAGGCAACAAAAACAACACATTCAAGAACAAAAATTTAGCTCTGAATCATTATGGCTATATTCTATACTAAATAAACATCTCAAATGTTCTCAAATAATAAATACAACAAAAATATCAAAATACCCACATTTAAACACCAATTTTAACAACTCTAGTCATCCCATATACAAACAAGAATATGAAAAAGTTCATCATAACATGGCATAAAATGTTTCCTGAACTTAATTATCTTGAAAAATATTAGAAATAAGGGGGGGAAGTGCACCTTTAGTCTTTTAATTTTAAACCAGCTTTTAGTTTGATCCCTTAATTTTATAAAGTGTTTTTTTAGTTCTCGAAGCCCAACACCAATAATACTTGGTCTTAGTAACTGTAAATGCCAACCTTGCAATTTTAAATGCCCACAAAACATTATCAAGTGTTGACATATTAAGTTAATTTTTAAAAAATAAAAATGATTGGATTGAAAGATCATTTTTTGAGAATTCTCTGTTAGTATTTAACATTGCAACGTTGGTATTTTCTATTAATGAAATTAACAGTATTAGGATTAGAAAACTGAAAGGCTTCTTTATTAATAAATGGATCAAATTAAAACCTTGTGTAAAGTTAGAGAACCCAAAGTACACTTCTACCAAGAAAAAATGTCTCTACATTGCATCCATGTAACACTAACACACAACCAATTCATGGAGAAGAGAGACGAGAACAACAGGGTCGGTTCACCCTGCAGGAAGTGCAGCGCAACCAGATATGCCGCTGCCCATATAAATATAATCATGAAAAGTGTGACAGCTCAGCCAACAAACAAATAAAATATATATATATAACTAAATTATTATAGGATTAAAGGAGACCTGTTTCAAAGCACGTGTCATGGCCAAAATGGCACCTCTCCCATCAGTAGGTGGTTGAGTAATATGATATGCATCACCTGACAGATAGCATTATAAAAACTCAATACTTCTGAAAATTTTTGGACAAAAAAAAGACTTCTAAAAATAATACCGTTGAGTAATTTCTATATATCATGTAAGAAACTACCTGACATCCCATAGCCACGAACCTCTGCATAAATTTTTGCTCCTCGGCTTTTTGCATGCTCAAATTCCTTTCCATTAAGGGGAACAAGCAAATCAAACAATTCAGATCAAGATTATATACAACATAAAATGATACAGATGAGGGTAAAGGATGCATGAAATTTTCTTTTTAACAAACCTCCAAGATCAAGACACCAGCGCCTTCGCCTATCCTGGAGAAGAGTATGACTTTAGATCATGATGAGAAACAAGGCAAACAAAGAAGCCCCCCGTTCAATACTATAAAGGTAAAAATACATTAAAAAAAATGAATGAATAAATAGAAACAGCTTTACAATGTATTTATACATACACAAAACCATCTCGGCCACTATCAAAGGGTCGTGAAGCTTCTTGTGGGACTGTGTTATACTTTGTAGTCAAAGCCCGAGATCTAAAACTCTCAAACATTAGATGACAAAGAAATAGATGTAAATAAAAAAGAAAAGGCAGTTGAAAAAGGATACAGGGTACCACTCATGATTCAGTAAAAAGTTAACCTGCAAAATCCTGTTATTGATAAAGCATCAATGCTGGCCTCTGTGCCTCCGGCCACCATAATATCTGCATCCCCAAATTGAATCATCCGCAATGCATCACCAATGGAATGTGCTCCAGTAGCACATGCAGTAACTGATGCATGATTTGGACCCTACATCCACAAATAAGCAGCTATCTCTGAATTATTCGAGCTAGTAATGATCTGAAAGGTTATAATGTGATAAGGTATGTTGGGAAACACAGCTAGGAAAAATAACTCTATTAAGAAAATATCAGCAAGGATATCCAAGGTTACAAATGATAATCTCGTCTATATCAGACATCCATGTCTTAGGGCTATTTACAAGATAATCAAGGAATCAAATAAATCAGGAACTAGCTAGAAAATAGAAAACGTCCCAACAAACCTGAACATTTGCCCTCAACTAACTTAGCGGACCATTTTATTGACTGACTAGTCCTACATTTCCTCAAAAGAACAGAAAATGAAACAGAAAAATAAATCAGAAAATTATTCAAATATTAGTTGTGCTTCTGACGTATCCTCTTTCTGTGGCATGTGACTAAATGCCTCTTGTTGCCATCATCATGTAAAACATCACAGTAATAGATCTACAACAGTCATCTTTTCTGCATTATTGAGCCCAGAACTGTTGTTAGCAACCTTACAATTGTCCAACCAAGAGAGACAATGCTTACGTGAGTACCCAAATGTTAAACCTCATTTACATTTAATTTACCCATTAAGTATTTACAAATTAACCATGCATGTAAGATAGTTTTATCTAGAACTTTAAATCATGAAGGCAACCTATTTTTATCATGACTGTATGTGTGAATTACCAAAAAAAAAAATGAATTTAAATGTTAATTTTTAATGTCAAAAAAAAAAAGCTACAGAATCTAAGATTACATTGTCAATGACACAATTAAATATTACTAAACAGGAGATATAGAATTTTACATCAAACGGCTTCTAGATTTACAATATCCTTGAACCTATGCTACCCAAATCTTAAGTTGTGAGCTTCCCCTTCAATGAGCTTCTCAAAAACAAAGGCATAAGAAGTATAATCATCCCATGTAAGAAGCACCATGAATTATTATATCCTCAAAGAAGAAAAGGGTGTTAGAATATACCATTCTAATCAGTCAGGTGCAGGTGTTCAGCTATCTAGAAAGAAGGAACCTCTTTTAAACTCATTAACATGAGGTTTCTGATCTCCGTTTTTATCATTTTAAGGAGTTCTTTTCTCTTTGCCCTCATCAGCTGTGTCTAATGTGTGCCTGAGCCCAAAAATAATATTTTATTCTGATACTAATCATGACTAGTCATTGTTCATAGAAGCATCTCTTTTGACATGTGTTTAACATGGCCTGTATAGGTATGGTCGTGCTTTGTAGAATAGGAACCATGGAAGGGGGGAAAATATTTTCAATTCAACAAAAGGTGTTGCTTGAACACAATACATAATTAAGAATCTTCCTTTGTTCCTGAAATTCATGTCTAGATAATATAGTATTTGAATCATGAAGCACACCAAAAACCATGATTCAGTTATAAAAATGAGCACACCTGGAGCCCATATTTCATGCTCACATGACCTGATGCCATGTTGATCAGTATCCGTGGAATAAAAAATGGACTAAGCCGACGAATGCGCTGTACAAGGAACATGGGAAAAAATTGTTAACATTTATGAAACTTTATTTTGAGTCACAAAATTTGACTTTCATAACAGGAAGCACTGGGAGACACATGAAATAAGGAAATATTCTAAACAAACCTTCTCACAAATCATCTGTGCAGCATCCAAGATGTCACTGATGCTTCCAATTCCTCCACCAATAGAAGCGCCCTGATATTATGTCAAACAAATAATACTAACTCGTGACTAATATGACCAGGAATCATTACTCATAGACAAACATTTCTTACCGTTCTTTCCTTTTGCTCCTGTTCAGTGGGAAACCAATTGGAATCTTTAAGAGCTTCATCAGCAGCACATAGTGCATAGGCTATAAACCTAGCAATTGATCTATGCTCCTAAGATAAGTATCAATACTACAATGACATCAATGAGCACAATAGAAATTCAGGTCCAGCATGCATCAGCAAAAGATGGTAATATATCACATCAGCACAAGTTTCGTTAAGAAAGGAACATTCTCATTCCAACATTAAAAGAGTACTATCAAGGGATTTATCAGATTTTATAATTTCATCAAAAAAATGCAAGGATACTACAGGGCTTTCATTATTCAAAGAATAATATTATACAAAATAATTAAGTCCTATCTTAGAAAGCGTATGTTACAGTTGTTTGTATTCTAGCACGTTCAGGTTAGGACTTGGGAAGAATAAATTGAGCAATCCCATTTTATAAACATCATGCTATCAAAAGGAAAAGCAATGTGGCAGGTTGACACATATAGCTGCATGTGTACAAGAGCAATCTTGTGATTCATCTTTAAACATTTATTGTTAAACCTCTAGTACAGTAGTGGCTTCAGATCAGGAGAAATGCTAAACTGCAAATTCTTTCTGCATCCTGATCAGACAGATGTAATTAGCATTTATGTTGTGTTAGAATTACCCATGGCCAAAATAAACCGCTGAAATTTAATAACACAACTCTCTAATTTGTTAACCATTGGCAAAAGAACATCTGCAATGTAAGTTGGTCAAAACAATTTAAAATCATAAAAAAAAAATATAGTAACATAGTACATCAAATTGAACATGACAAGCACAATAAAACCAAGCCAGGTCTTCCATTCACCTTAGAATTGAGCCATATTTCCTCATTAAATTCTCCTGGGTTGGTTCCAGCTGGCACAATTGCCGCAACTTTTGATGTCAACTGATCAAATGTATTCAACTGAGTTTCTCTATTGAAAGCATTCATCTTCAGATCTTCTAAAGTTAATGCCCTTATCCCACATTGCCCTTCAAGTAGGTTATTCCATGTTGTTTCTACTCCAGAACCAAGTGGAGTCACCATGCCCATGCCTAAAAATCAAGGAAATTTTAGCATTGCACTGCCACTACAGCAGAAGACCAATTCATTTGAATTTTATTCTCCAAAATCAGCTCTTTGTTCAACATGAAGTGAACTAGATTGAATGATTCAGGGAAATAGAATGCGCCACAAAAGGAGAAACGGAGCAAACAAAAGGAGACATGGAGAAAACAAACTGTAGAATTAGAAGGATTTCTTCAAAGCTACAACCCTTAATTTCCTGAACCAACATCGAACTATTAAGCTTGAGCAAGGAAACTTTCATTCATATAAATCCAATAGAATATGATAAATACAGATATATTGATGACCTACTACAATACATCAATCTCATCACAATTGAAACTACAATTAATTCCCCTATGAATTTGGTGTCCTGAAGTTTTTAAATGAAGAAGCAGAGCATAATCAACAAAGGCTGTAAACACAAATGAAAAAGAAATTGATAAACATAATAGGAGAAGGAGAAAGACAAACCAGTAACAACAACTCTTCGAGAAGAAACAATAGGAGGAGGAGCAAAACCTCTACTACTGCCAGAAGATAAAGAAAAGCTTCGGCAAAACTGGATGCCAGAAGCCACGAAAGATCTACGTGAAACAAGCAAAGCCATGTTCAACCACAATTGCGAGACTAGTCTGCCCCAACTATGTCCATCATATTCTGTTATTTGAGTGCATATAATATTAAATTCAGAACAGGAAACACAATAGAAGCCTATACAACAACAATGAAATACAATAATAAATCTGACAATAACTAAAAGCCAGAGCACAAAATCGATTAAAACGAGAGAAATCGAAGATGATGACCAAGTAAAGAGAAAGAAATCAAGCAACAACTGTGCAATAGCAAGCATTGCCGGCGGCAAGGTGGTTCCACTTAGGTGGAAGCTGACGACCTTCCTCCCACTTCAGTTCGAGAAGAGAGGCGTGACGAAATCCAGACTCCACTGCTACTGCCAAGCACGGAGACGGATCAGCAGAGAATACTGATAATTTTTTTTTTTAATACTGACAAAACAAAATGACAACGAACAGGCCAGTTAGAGATTCCGCCGGCCCGAGTTCAAGTTGGCCCCGAGAAGCATGAACCTGTTAAGAAGTCTGAAGCTCAATCGTACCAATTCCGGGTTCAGGATCGGGTAGCCCAAAAGGTTGTTTACTTTGTTTTTCTGGATAATGAAATTTTTAAATTCTCAAATTTGTCTCAATTTAATTTTTATTGATTTATCCATTTACATGTGTATGTTTTAGCATGTTAAATTGTGTTTTAACTTATAAATGATGTGATTTGCAAAATGATTCATGATAGATGTTATGAAAATGATTTAAAAAACAATTATGACTTCTTTTACTTATAAGAGTTCATTTCAGTAAAAGAGGACAATCTTTTATAATATAGCAAACCAAAATTGAAATCTTTAAAGGAAAAGGTATTCACATTTAGTGCTTGATTATGTCTCAAATAAAATTACCTCTAATAAAAAAAAATACCTATAAACAATTAAAAAAAACTGTAGTTTGCTTATGCATGTTACAATAATTAAATGTTATGAAGATGTGAGATCTCACTATTATAAATATTTTTGTAGTCATTTTATTATTCTCAACTTTCAATGGGCTTTTAATGTTAATTGCATTATGGGGTCAAAAGTCTCTTAGCTTAGTGACATCTCACACCTCTTAAAAGAAGAAAATTATGAGTTCAATACCTCACATGGTAAAAGGATGGAATATGTGTGAGTGTGATAAGTGTGTGCTGCTTCTCTTTTAAGGGAAGGATCACCCTTTCTTATGGGAGAAGGGTTAAGTATGTAGAAGTGTGTGTTAGTGTTTGACCCATTCCCAAAAAGAAAATTGTGCTATGAGAACTTGGATATAATTCTCTTTTCATTATGTGCTTGAGTTATGAAATGGGTTAATTTGGATTGTTTAAATTGCCTACAGTGTATCATGCAGGTAATGATCAAACTATGAGACCCAAATTTCTCCTGAAAATGATCTTTTAACTTGTAATTCTACAAGAGCATAGACATAATCAGCAGATTATTTTAGAGCATCTAGAATAATAGCATTAATTGCAGCCATGTGGTTTTTTTTTTCCTTGATGAAATAACAAATAGTTCAAATATAGTTAAAAAGAAAAAAATGAAAATGAAATATAAAAGCGAGAAATTAAAGAAAAAAGAAAAAAGATGGAAACACATCCGCTTGAATGGAGATCGATTTAAAGCTTTATACATAAACCATATTGATGTTGGGAAGTAGAGAAGGAATGTCCCTTGCTATCCCTAAGCTAACATCTCTAGCTGAGAGTTTATTGAAGAAACAATTCGACTAACATAGGAGGATGATATCTTGCAAACAAAGATTCCTTGAATTAGGAGTGGCATATATAACTCATAGCAAAGCAAATCAAAGGCATAGAACCTAAAAGTTTCTCTCAGGGTAAAAGACTTACATTTTGATCGAGTGAACCTAATGAAGAACAAGAATGTCAATTATTATGAAAGTACTCCTCTTTTTCCTAGTATAGATGAAGTACCATTCTAATCCATATAATGGAGAAAATCTTCTTCTATTAAGGGAGTTTGTTAGATTATGTAAGACTGCCCTTACTAAACCACAATTAAACTCTAAAATCCAAGTTGATCATGTTAATGCCTAAGATTACCAAGTTTTGTAAAATTTACATAATTAGCGATCCCAAGTTTTCAAAGTTCAAACTACTCCAATATCCTTTTATAATTCAAAAATCAAAGTAAAATAACTTTACAAGAGCATGCGATATATATTTGTGATAAAGCATTTGCAAAAATGGTTGGAAAATTGCAAACATAGGTATGATGCGGCATATTGCAAACATGCCATGGCATGTTTGCTTCTGTACCATATACTGCATATTGCATGAATTTGACAACAAATTTGCTGTTAATGACAGCTCCTTAGGCGAACTTCCAACACATTCATTTCTTTGTTTGATGTCTGATTAAGAAAATTTAGAAATCACATAAAGCTTTTTTTGAGCTCTATCTAATAACATTGATTTCACATTCAAATTATTTTTTCAATCAAAGTTGGATACCCATTTTCGAACTCATTCCATTTTACCATTAACACACAACTTAGGTGTCCCACTTCCTATCCAAGTACTAGAAGCTCACACAACCTTTAGATCACACTCAATGAACTTTAAAGAATTTATGCAACACACCATGACAAATCAATCGCACACATATCACATTTTCAATTCTCAGCCCCTTACTCACAAACACATAAAGGGGAGCCTAATTTTCATAAATAATCACAATTCATAATACTCATACATTTATGCATCTCTCTGTTTGCACTAGTATTTTGGCCATATTTGATCTTTATAACCACATTACATACAACCCAGGATGCAAAATACCCATTCCAATCAATTTTGCAATTAGTGATCATATGATAACCTAGTTGGCAAATATCAATCAAAATACATATAAATAAATCTATAAGGTCTACAGTTAGGATTAACAGAATCCTATGCCTCAAATTGTTTCCCTTGTTCCTATTTTGATAAGCTAATCCTTGTAATATTAAAAGAAAGAGGAGTAAGTATAGCTACACAGTATCTAAGGTCAATCTAACCTATGCAAATGCATGTCAATTAATTATAAGGATGCAAATGGTAATTACATAACTTTCACAAGTATATTTGATTTTCAAAATATTGCTACAACCACAATATTAACAATCACGTGACCAGGCACAAACATATATCAAAATTCATTTCAATATTAAGCATTTAACACATGTAGAGTCGTAACACTAACAATCATGTACCTTTATACTAAAAAAAACACTTTTTACACCGGCTCCGCATATAACCAGTGTAAAAACTACTTTCTACACTGCTTGTCATATGAACCGGTGTAGAAAGTTGGGTATTATTTCTAAATATAAAAATTAAAAAAATTATTTACTTTCTACGCTGGGTATTTAAAATACTTGGTGTAGAAAGTTTTCAATTTTTAAAAAATTATTGACTATCTACACCAATTGTTTATAATTGGTTTAGAAAGATTAAAATAAATTTTAAAACTTAATATTTTTAAAAATTAATAATTTTTCTACCCACGCTTTTATGTTTAACGAGTGTAAAAACATAACATTAAAGATTAAACCCACCAGCTCCCTTTCTTTAAAATCTCTTCGCTGCCCTTGATTCAGAATCATCCACTCTTAGAAATCATCAAAAACATTAGAAATCTCATCATGAGAAGTTGGGAGGTCACTCTAGAACACGTCCACAGAGAAGTAAATCGCTGTGTTGATCTTCTGGCTCATAAGGCCTCCAGCGAATATTTTGATACTACTTTGTTTGATGACGCCCCGATAAATTGTAGAAGTATTATGTTTTCTTATATGACCTGACCTTGGTCTATTTGCATGGTATTTCTACCGTATCCTTGTATTCAAAAACAAAAAATATCTCTTGGCTGTGCTTCTCGTGACCTATGCCACCCCTTGGATCTTCCTATTCCACTTCAAAACCCTACCTCCAACTCTCATCTCCCAAATCCGTGGTCTCTATTAGCGTCGTCTATCATCTCCCTTGTCGTGGGTTCTTGCACTCAACTTCCTCGACAGCCTCCTCATCATCTGGGTTCATCTCTCTTCTCTTGGATTAGTGGGTTCGTGGATCCTTGAGTGTTGAGGTATAAGTTTTAAATTTCAGATTTTGGATTGGTGTTGAGGTAGAGTAGATTGGTCCTTTTTAGAGCTCCTAAAATTGGGTTTGATTTGGTTAATGAAATATCTATTTTCCTTTTTCTTTTTTTAAAGCCTCAACCCAGATTGATTTCAAAACTTGGTCTGATGTATTGATCACTTCTTCTTCTTCTATTTTCCTATTTGATTGTTGAGGTTGCGAGTCTCTCCCATGATTTAGATTAAAAAACAAAACAAAAGGAATGTTTAGAACTCAACACCCCACTTCTTTAACTATCTATCTGTAAATATATATCATAAAACAAGCAAATGGGCTCAGTGAACAGTAGTTTTCTTTGGATACACATAGCTGAATTTTTGTTTCCAAAAAAATGTTGTGGACTTTATATGAAAAGGAATATTGTGAAGGTTGATTTTAATAAATTTATTTAACGGGTTGGCGTAATTCATAACACTAGTTAGGGTTGTTAATGGCGAAAATAGGAAGAAAGAGCTGTGAGAATGGGTTAAAATGATTAAATCAAGTGCTAACACACATTAATATTGTGGATTGAAAATATAACTTGCAAAATTAGTCAATTTACTAAACTGATATTATTTGTAGAAGCAACATGATGGGAAACAACTCTATTTGAGATCTTGTGAAATTAATTTCCATGGGAGTGGAGTAAGCTTACTTGGTAAGTTAATTTCAGTAAAATTTATCTTATACATGTTTATTGATATGGATTTGAAAAAACATTTATTTTAGCTATTATGTTTATCTATAAAGATTTGAGGTGACTTTGAATAAATTAGCTATAACTACTAGTTTGCTGTATAGTGTAGCCTTTTAGTGTGTCGATCACTTTATTAAAAAAAAAAAATCCAAGCCTATCTATTCCATTCCGACTTAACCAAGATGATCCATTCTTTATACTGTATAATGAGTGTTTGTGTAAGTGATCAGTGTTGTAATATATAAGTTATAATACTATTATTTATATGATTTATGAACAAAATTTCTTATATTAGTGTACCATGATACGTATAAGAAATTAAGCTATTGCATTCTTCAAATTTGTACCGAAGGAGCTCAAACCTTTTAACATTCACCTTCTTATCTATTAGAACAGATGAAGAAAAGAATATTGGAGAGTGATCAATATCACTAGAGCTTGGGTTGTTACTTAGCTTGTTATCATGGTAGGCAATTTAGTTAAAATCCCCAATTAACAACCAAGGGCTATGAATTCTCAGAGTGGTACAGGAAATCCAAGTATATAGGACATAACAATTAGATGTGAGAGGTGGTCCATAAACAAAAGTAACATAACTTTCATTAGGAGCTGCAAAGAAATTTATAGTGGATGAAATGGGAGGTAAAGTCCTAGACAATGACATCAAAGGTATTAGACCAACCCAAAATATTCACCCCTTCCTAGTTAATGGCACTACAACCCACTGAATTATTAAAACCTAGATTAGATAAGAGATTGCAAGAAACATTATAACTAACCTTTGTTTTAAAAAGGAAAACAAAATTTGGAGAATGTGCATGGATGAATTGCTACAAGCTTTGTATTGCCATAGCTTTCCTAATGCTACAACATTTCCAGCAAAAGGCCCTCATGACTCCTTGGGAAGCTTTTGAGCATCAACTTCCCAAGACCTCTTGACAGAAAAGTGAGCTATGGAAAAAATTAAACAATGAAGAAAAGAAGAGATTTTGAACTTACTTCAATCTCTTACATACATGATCAAGATCAGAAAAAGCATAAACCCACCACCTATCAATATATCTCTTCTTACCAAATAAAGAATTATGAGGACCATGAGTAGAAGATATTCATCAAAAGAAGGGGAAGGTTCAACAACAAAATCATCACAGTCACTCAATAATCTAGGCATTTTTTAAGCAGCTCTGCCTTCAGAAATAAACCTTCAAGACTCTCATCATTTCTCTTTCATTTTGACATTTGATAAGGACTTTCCGTTTTTTTTTTCAACACATTTAGTGTTAGAAGTCCCTGTTGTGAAGCAAGAAGAAGACATTTCTTCACTAGAGATTGATGGCTTCCCCTTCTGAACAATATTAAATTGATAACAATCTCCCTTATCTTTTTTGATCCAATAAGAGCTTGAACTATGGCTTGTCGATGCGTTGTTGGGTGAAAAAGAATACATGTATGTTATAGCACAACAAGCAGAATGTCAACCTTGAGATGATTTTCCAACTAAGAATGCACACTGAGTATCTAAAGCTGCTTGGAGAACTTGCTCCTGACTAAGAAATTTTGCACCTCAATTATTCATATTGAAGTCTCTACTTTGATGCAGTCCCACTGTTCCAAGTGAGATTTCAGTTATTTTTCCTATCACATTCTTTGAAGGACAAGCATTGCTTATCTTTACAAACCTTGAGAGATTAACAGGATCTTTCAACATTCTCTAATTATGCCTCAAAATTTTAACTTCCATCCATCTAAATTATTGGAAAAACCCATAAAGTAGTGGGAAGGGTTCAACAAAAACTGCTGGAGACATTTAGGCACATATGGGGAATGACATAATTGATATATCAAATATTTTTGTCTAACACAAAGTTGTAAAGTAGTAGTAGGAGAATTAAAATTTCCAAGACACCATTGAACTCCGAGACCAACAATGAGATTGTGATGAAAACTTTTGAAAAGATATTTGATATTTTTGAGTGAACGACGAACAACAGAAGGGTTGGCAGTAAAAGTAACAGCCACAATCTTCTGATTAAAATTGACAGAAAAAGAGCAAAATCTTGAACCAGAAAAGTCAATTTCACATATTGTGATAGCCATTGAATAGAATTAGTAATCAATAGAATCCCAACCCTCAAAAATCACAACCACACTTGGAATTTTCAGTAACCACTAAAAAGCAATGATAAATAAAAAATACTTAATAGCAACACAACTTAGAACCAGAATTGTTCACAGAAATAGAAATAGCACCGTGAGTAAGAAATTGTAGGATGGAAACCAAAAGGTGAATGGATTTTCCAAATCATACTATCAAATCAAATGGAATTTAATAGATGGTTGAATGGGGACTTGGATTCATCTTGCAACTACCCCTGCTCAATGATAGGACTTGAGAATGATTCTTCTTTCATTTTGGTTTCCTTCACCCTGATTCTATCAAGACAAAAGGCAACGAAATAAGAAGATTCTAACAGCACAACAATGAATGGCAGTTAAAGAACATAGATCAAAGACATAGGTGAAGGTTTCGAACGTTCACTTGACGGAAGGAGCTGAATCTGGCTTGGTTGAAAACAGATCACTGTCGGGTACATCTGGTTCACGATTTCACCACCGAAGTAGGAAGAAGTAAAGAACACTTTAATATATGGTGACGAAGAGATAGAGATCGAAGACATTCCTGCCTACTCTGGTGGTCCAAGCGCCAAAGAGGCCAGAAATTTGTCGAGTTGAACACTAGAGCTCCGAAGGTCTTCAGACGAGTCTTGTGTGAGTTCGTTCTCAGCTTGGGAGAGAGAAACCAAGTCTGCACACTTAGATGCTGTTTTTGGGACTCCTTCACCAGAATTTGTAATAGTAAAACTAATGTTGTATTTTATTTGACCGGAACTTTGCTGTTTGAATCATTTTTCAAACACCAACAACCTCAAAGGCCAAGAAGGGAGACCTTTGAGAAAGGTAATTGCGAAATTAAATAATTCATTGCAGCCACATGGTTAACTAAATATATGTAGTTTGAAATGACTAATAAACAATGTGGTTCATACTATCTTACGTTCAAAGATATGAATTTGAATTTGAATCCTGTTATCAATACAAGAATTTTATTAATGAATAATTTATAAGCATCTTTGTAAATATTTTTTGAACTTTAAAGCTTACTTTGATCCGAGTAAAAGTTATAACTCATCTTATATAATATTCTTTTTATTTATTTTTTAAAAAAGACACATTGATGCTCTAGATTCTGTTTATAATTAAGTATTATTAGTTGAAGCTAAAATGTCCCTCCAACAATGGATCAATTTATGATAATGCTGATGGAGTTTCAACGATTGCGTCAGCCACATATATATGGTTGATAACAAGCAGTTCCTTAAAGTAACTATATACAGTTTCCTGCTAAACTAGACTTCCTGGTCAGCGCTTTAAAGTTTGATGCTAACTTCACGCAATTTGTGGTCCATATTTCAGTCAGATCTTACCTTTCACGATCCGTATAGGAAGAGAGAGATATGCGTGCATATATATATATATATATAAACATACGTAGAAGATCAGACCAAGAGATGAAAGAATATCTCTCTCGGACACTTAATTCTGATCAGGAAATAGAGCATTCATGGTAACATTCAGAAACAACAAAACTCTTATCTGTTCCATGTGATCGATCCCGATTCATCCAACAAAATCTCTTTTTCTAAAGGATTGATGTTTCCCTGATTCTAATCCCATTTTAATCATTGGATCCACATGTTTATTCCATGGGCTCTCCTTGAACATTATCTCAGAGCACTGTTTTTGGGTGCTCGGGCCGGTTTTGGTTCGACCGATGGGCTTGGATTCATCTCATTGATAATCTTTGCCCTTGCCCACCTTGTTGATCCAGGACATTCCATCATTTTTGCTGTGAGTCCTTTTTAGTTACATAATTATCGTTCTAATTATTAAATACATACTTTTAAGTTTGGTTAGGGTGTGTTTGGATTAATAAAAATTTAGATATGAATTTAAACAAAATCCCTCATTTGAATACATATGAATTTATGGATTTAAATCTAAATTCATTTCTTATTATAATTTTTTTATAATTTCAAACTCTCTTTATACTCTAATAATTTAAAAATCTAATCATTTCAAACATTTTATTATTTTTATATTTTGATTATTAATGTCTTTATAGCTCTTATATTTTTTTTTCATATATCGTTATCATCTCTTATCAATTAAAAAATAAAAATAAATTCATCGTTTTTATTTCAAAACTCAATTTATGTCTCTTCTTCATTTAAATTTTTATTAAACTATCCAAATAAATAATTTTAAATATGATATTTGAAATGCAAGACATTAAATTTAGAACTTAGATTTAAATTCATCAATCCAAATGCTACCAAAATTCTCCCTCTTATTCTAATTGTAAGTAAACTACCTCACATTTTTTAAAGAGTGATAATTTGTTTCCCTAATCTTATGTAAAAATGTACAGATTTTCAATTTTACCATTTATTGAAATTAATATCTATAATAAAATGTTGTATTAAAATTATATTGAAAACATATCAACAAATATATATGTATGCATGGATTGGTCAACGTGTTTTAGGTCAATGGAAGATGTATCATATTTGACTACAATTAAATAATTAAGATCAAACTTTTAACAACCTAAATGGGAAACAAGTTTATTCTCCTTCTCTTCTTCAACTTTGTCTCATGTAAATCTTGAGAAATATATAACCGTGCTTCTAATTGATCAAAAGCTATACATAACAATAACAGTCAGAGACCTCTTTTTTTTTTTTTTTCAACTCAAATAAACTAAATCCAAATACGCCTTCAAAATCGACATATCACACTCCCATTTTTCTTTTCTTTTCTTTTCCTCCAGTTGCTTGTTCAAGTCTTTTTGTAATTAATTTCCAATACATTAGAGCATCAAGTACTCTCACTGGTATATCAGATAATTATATTTTAACCAATAAATTTTAGAAGAGCTATTCTAATTTAGTCTAATAATACTTAAATCTAGCCAATAATACTGAATATTAAATATTGATATATAGAGCTTAACAGAACATATGATTAATGACAGGATTAATGCGTACACATAGCATGTATGTTGCACAAAATTGATGTGCAATTTCTTCAACTCATGGTTATACAAGTATTCAAAATTAGGAAGCAAATCGGATTATATATATCATATGAAGTCGTATGATTTAGTAAGAAATAAGAATTAGTGACAACATAGTAATATTGTCTCCTCTTCTCTCTGTCACAAGTGTCAAGCACTTAATACATTCCCATATTTCAGTTGAGATTTGGTAGGTGAGAATTTAATTTAAAAGAGCAAAAACAAAGCTATATACGATTTATTATTTATACATGAAAAAGAGTACCGATAATAAAACCGAACCGGTGAACTACGAGGGGCGGTCCGGAGACCGTACCGTAATTCTAGCGGGTAAGGGTCGACCGGTCCCGGTTCCGCCGCAACTGCTGCAAGCCATCCGGCCTGAACCGGCGCAAGTTCTGCAACCAATATCGCCGTCGGACCAACGGGAACACATGCAAGTGACTCGACCGGTTCCGTTGCAAGCGGGACAGCGAGGGAATGGACCGGCCATGGTCTTCTGGTCCATCACCGATTTAACCAGAACCGCTCCGGCGAGCACGCTTAGACCGGTGGCCACCTGGCTCAGCACCACTGGAATCATCGCTAAATCGGACTCACAGAGAATCAGAGAAAAAAGAGAGAGAAGGATTTGGGAAGAGATTGGGCTGATATTGTAGTGATTTTTCTGAATAACGAAGAAAATAAAGGAATAAATAGAAGTGGCTGTGGAATTAGACACGTATACGTCGTTGTGTTTGGTGGCTGACAAGAGGTGATTGTTTGTAGTTTAGTGGAGCCGAGATGTTTTTTTCGTTTTCGATTTCTTCTTTTACAGATTCACTTGGCTCCTCTTGCTTGAACCATTTCATTTATGTGTGGCTTTCAAATTTTGTTTTGTTTCTCCGTCTCTCATAGTACTTTTTATTTTTCTTTTTACTTAAGAAATACTCATGATCTACCCCGACATGCTATTTTAATTTAGTGCACGTTTGGATAATCAAAATAATCAATTTTAAAGGCTAAAATTATAATTTTGTAAAAATATATTCAAATACATTTTTTATATGTCAAAATTAATTATGAATTTAAAATCATGATTTTTTTAAAAATACCCAAACACTCATTATATATGAAAATATTAATTATAAATTCAAAAGCATGACTTTTTTTTAAAAAAATATCCAAATACTTTTATACATGTCAAAATCAATTATGAACCTAGAATTATAGTTTGTAAAATAGTTTATATAATTTTTAGATAAATTTTTAAAAATATATAATTGAAAAGTTGAATTAAAAAGAAAGTAATAATAACTAATAGGATAATTGTGATTTTAGCTTTATAATTAATTTTGACACACATATATATAGGGGTATTTGGATAATTTGAAGAAAACTCTAATTTTATGTTAATAATTAATTTTAGAATGTATAATAGACGTTTAAATATTTTTAAAAAATAATTTTAAATTTATAATTAATTTTAAGACGTAACATAAATGTTTAGATATAAACAATGGTTTTATGCGATTTTTAATTTTTCTTTTCAATTTATATTAAATTTAATCTTATTAGTTAATTTTATAAATCAATTATATATTACATAATATAATCAATTATATTCAAAATTAATTATATTAATTAATTTTTTTTATAATTAATTTTTTCTAACAAAAATCCAAAGGGGCCCTTAGTATTTTTCTTTTCTTTTTTTTTTTTTGCAACGAATGGAGAGGCAAATCCTATAAGGTGTCTTTTAAGAGACTTTAATTTTATTCCAATTATATTGCTACTTAAAAGTATTTGATTGTTTACTTTTGTCTCTCAAAATTTTAGTATTAATATTATTAGGAAGTGGAAGTTTTACATATCTTTTAATTAAATTAGTAAAACTAAAAAAAATAGATAATTTATTCATAAAAAATTTAGATAATTTTTACATAACTTTAATGTTGTATGTGAAAATAATGTTAGAAACATCATATACTAATGATGAAAAGTATATTTATATAAGGTTAAAGTCCAATTTTGCTCTTAATTTTTTTAGGAACACTAATCATCTTAAAATTAGAAGTGTTGCATGGAGAATTGGCAAACTTTAATTGGAGAATTAACAATGGTAGGAATATTCTTGCTAATTGCCATGAATGGTAGCTTATGCAATGAATAGATCCTTTGATTCAACTTTATTTCATGTGAGTTATAGATTTGATGTTACATAACCTAGAATATGGAACAACAATCTTATATGTTAGCTATATATATATATTCCTTCTATTGCTAAGAAGAATTTTAAATGCCATTGAATGGAAACCAAACCAAATTGGCCAGTTCAATCAGTGAATCAGCCTCTCTATTAGTTTGGTTTTCCATCTAAACTAGTTGAGAATGACTCAATTAATTGAATAACCTGGTGAACCCAAGGTAACCATACTAACCCATCATGGTTGACCGAGTCACTTATTTCTTTTCCATCTAGGGTTCTATCTACGCGTGGCAAAAATAATCCTACATGTACACATGTTGCCTTAAAAAAAGAAGGTGATAAAAATGTGTCTACTTGTCTTTATTGTGCATCAAGCTAAGGAGGAGATGGGATAAAAGAAGCAAGAAACATCTTGCTAGTATAAGTAGTTTAGTAGTTTCTTGTAAGAATGTTCCTCATGATGTATATCATAGAATGATACAGTCTTTGAAAGGTAGGAGAAAAAGGAAACTTGATAATAAAAAAGAACAAGAACAAGTAAACATTAGGCATCTTGAATCTATTGACCTAATTGCTCCTACTCCAATTAATACAATAAGAATCAAGCTTCTACTACTTTAGCTGACAATTATGTTGCCCCCAAGACAAGTCTTGGTTCCTAATCAAGCATCAAAAGTGCATTTGCAACTAAAGAAGCACAATGTAATGCAAAAATGGAAGTTGTTGAAAGGGCTATCATCAATTGCATTCTATTTAATACATTAGATTACCCTTTCTTTTAAAAAACTGTGGATGCTATTAGTTTAATTAAGCTAACGTTTAAAGCCCCTAATGCTTATGAATTTAGAATCAACTTGCTAATAGATTGGAAAAAAGAATATCAATTACTTATTGGAAAAACGAATATCAATTAAATAGAAAAACATTAGATGTACATTCATGGCTAGTGGTTAGACAGATGTGAGGTAGCAAACTTTCATAAATTTATTAATCTATTCTAAACATGAAATGGTCTTTGTGATATCTATTGATGCTTCAGATTTAGTGAAAGATGCTAAGACTTTGTTCTCATTGTTTTGTGAAGTAATTGAGTAGATTGGTCCTAAGAACATTGTTCATATGGTGACTGATAATGCCATTAATTATGTAGCATGTGGCAAGTTGATTAGGGAAAAATATAAAACTATTTATTGATTACCTTGTGCCGCACACTATTTGAATCTTCATTTAAAAGACATGACAAGATTAGACAAGCATTTGTAATTAAGGCATCAAAGATAACTATTTTTGTTTATAATCATATAATTTTCTTGTCATGGTTTAGGAAAATATTGGGTCGAAAAGAAATCATGAGTCCAAGTATAACAAGATCTGCTACTACATTTTTCACATTGCATAGTATATATATGCACAAGCATGACTTGCAAGTTTTAATGACTGATAAACACTTTGTGGATTATAAATTATCAAAGACTAAAACTAAAATAATTGTTATTGTTGTCATATTAGATAACGGGTTTTAGGGTGATTACTTATAAATTGTGAAGGTTGTATCTCCCCTTATAAAGCTATTGAGAATTGTGGATTCAGATGATAAATCTTCTTTGCCTTACGTTTATGAGAGCATGCAAAGGACAAAAAAACCAATTAAGGCAACATTCAATAATAAAGATATATCAATATAAGTCTTACACAAATATTATTCAAGCTTGATAGGATAAGCACTTTAAGACAAAATTTCATGCAGCAGCATATTTGTTGAATCTTGCATTTTTGTATGATGACAACTTTGCTTACAAGAGAAGGTTAATGGATGCAATGCTTAATGTGTTTAAGTCAAATGAAAGTGAAGAAGTTAATTATATTATGATGATAAAGCAGTTGAGTTTGTATCATGATCATAAAGAATCTTTTGATAAAACTTCGTGTTAGAGAACAGCCCAAAAATTAAATCCTCATATTTATTATTTAACATATTTGTGGTAATTATAGTTATGATATAATCAACATATAACTAAATGTCTTTCATTTGTGGATGAATGGTGGTCATTATATGGTGTTTCTTTTTCAGAATTGCAGACTCTTGAAATGCTTATTCTTAGCCAAACTTCCTCTTCTTCTAGCTATGAAAGAAATTGGAGTTTGTTTGAACACATCCATATAAAAAAAATAGATTACAACATTAAAGATTAAATGATTTCATTTTTACAAATTATAATATGCGATTGAAGCATAGGTAAGAATAAGAGTTTTGAATGCTTTTATAGTTTTATATTTTTTTATAAGGAGACAATTGAAGAAAAAGAAAAGTTATGATCACATTGATTATAAATCAATTGACAAATTGGATTTTAGGTGGTTGAAGAAGAGGAAAACTAACTCCCAAGTTTAATTATCAAGATATTGCAAATCTTAAAAGTACGATTCATAATGAATTCATGGTTGCTCCATCAATTATTAAGAGGGATTATATGAACGTTTAAATCTACTATCAAGTCTAATACAAGTATATAATATCATAGCTCCATAATTATTTTTTACACATTCATTTGTATTAATTATTATTTGTTATAGATGATGGATATATGAATGTTCCATAGCCCCCATCCTTGCCTGATGATATTGTTAGTGGTTTTGGTTTTTCTCATTCAACTCCTAATGTCTCAATGCCTAGAGATATGAATAAAGTTAATGATAATATTGGTGTTGGTGATTATTAGTTTTAAACTTTTTAATAATTAAAGGGTTGTAATTGTAAGGATGAATATTTGGAATGTTTTATTTTTATTATTGTTAGATTTTGAATGGTTGTATTTCTACAATTATTGATGTACTGGTATCTTGTATTAGAGACTAGTTTTCGATTTGGTTAAGTGTTTTTATAATTAATATTTTTTTATTTAAATTATATTATTTAAATCATAACTAATTTGCCATCGGTTTAACCCTTGATTCAATCCCGATTAAAGCACTAACCTATGACCTAATGCTTTAACTAGTTCAATGACCAGTATAATTTTCAGTACTTTATTAAATACTCATTTTTCATTCTCAACATCTATGATAAGCTAATAAGGGATCATTGGATCATATTCATCTAACAAATCACTATTACAAAATTGCTCATATTGGACTATTTTAGTTCATATTCAACAGTTATAAATTATCTAGTATGCAATCATCATATATTTGTGAAATAAATATTGAACTGTTATAAGAACCGTCCAATATTTGGAGTCCAATATTAGACAATTCTTTTAACCCATCCAATACATGATACAAGAATTTGTGTGAACTAAAAGAGAGATGATATATTGGACGGTTGTGGCAATATAGAGCTTATATTGAGCAAGAATTTGTATAGCAATAACTGTTCAATGTATATAGGCTTTTTTATTTTTTATAATAAAGGACTACTTTATAACAACCCCCTTACAATAATATAATGCAGATACAATAAATTCAATTAA